GCCGCGTCGCCGAGTGGTCCCCCTATCCACTTAGCACCGAACATGGATGTCTATTAATCTTCCGTTCAGTTCGCATTTGAAAGTGCAGCAAAGTTAACACTATGATCATGCTATCCACTGCAATTTAGATGTGCGAGCACTGCTTCGTATGGCCCAGAAAACAGCATCTTTCTGAGAGTTTTCTTTTGAAAAGAGAATGAGACATCATAAAGGGAAGGCTTTAAAAAGATGGAAGCTTGAAGCTATGTGAGGAGATATTTGACAAAAACCTATTGGCACTATTGAGGCTTTCACTAACCAGCATCATAACTAACGATCAATCGCTTCAATCAGATTTCAAATCTTGTGTTCACTTTGGATGGAAGGTGATGGCACTAAATTATTACTCCATTTCATACTTAACGTAATCCCTTGTAAAGTCTTTGCTGCGCCCTTCACCTGTCGTTCTCATCTTGTTCTTTAGAAGAATTCATATTTTTTGACTTTTAAACACATCCAGGATTCAGCTTGTGACGCATTGTTGCGCACCTAGATATGGGTGTGAATGTTACGGCTCACAGGTGCAAAGATCGGGTTGGGAAGGTCCTATATTTCACAATCTGTACTGGGCGCGTAATAAATCCCCACCTGAATCTATTCTTATGATCCAACAATTTCTTCAATCAGCCTCATCAGACGAGGATCGCTGTAAGGTTCTTACGTTGATTTGGGGAGCGATGTTCCTGATTTGAATGTCGGATTGCAGAGGCAGGTGAAATACGGCTCCATCATTCGTGATGCAACACATTTATGAAGTGTAATGATGTTTCCAACATTACGCCATCATTCTTTTTTAGGCTCTCCTACTCCTTCGTCGGTCACTGTCGATAATCTTCCAAGCCTTCCTGATCCAGTACAGCTTGTTGGAGTTGCAGATCCTTTCGGATTAGGCGAATTACCAGAGGTTTGTCAAATCAAATGTTTTTTTTTAGTAAAGCTGGTTTGCAAAATCCAGTTGCAGGTTCCTGTTCCACCTCCCTCTTCGAATCAACAAGTACCCCTCAGTACAAGCAACAGTTGCGTTCCTGACCTCCCCCATCCTATTGATCCTCAAGCTCAGCCGCAAGCCTCTTTTTCGGTATGTTCAACAATGGATAGGTTTTTTCCTCGCGCAAGTAATCAATTTTCATTATGCTGTTTTTTACCTCGGAAATGCCGGCGATTCAAGCATTCATTCTTATGGTCCATAAATGGAAATTCCCGGCTTCTTTGCGGTAATACCTGTATTAACAATAAACACAGTTCTTGATCACATTTCCTGAGAGATAATCGAGTTCTACAATAGAAAAGAATGTACTATTGGCACATTTCGTATCTCTGTATTGGTTAGTGTTGATTTTGTCTGCGGACACGTTGTTACGCTTGGTCGGGTGGTGGTGTCCGTTCCTCCAAGTGGGTGCCACTGGAAACTGCTCACCTTTGTGAGCTGAGCCGACCACGGACATTCGAATGCAGGCGACAGGCCCCCGTGACAGGCCGGCCTACGAACACCCACGTCACATCACAAAATGTCAATGTCGCTAAAAAGTATCTCGAGATAATGCTACGGCGTCCGCGGGAGCCGACGCGCACTCGCAAAGCCCGGCGAGTGTGAAAAGTATGCGAGGGTCTCCGGTGCAAGGACGGCATCGGGGGGCAACTAGGCTAGTCCAAAAGTCCCGCAACGTATGGAAGACTCGCGTTGCGACGTTAAATGTTGGCACGTTAACGGGACGCTCGCACGAGTTAGCAGAAGCTCTGGAGCGCCGAAGAATTGATTTCTGTGCCGTGCAGGAAACGAGGTGGTCCTGCTGCAAGTCGAGGGACATTGGCCGCGGCTTCAAAGCCGTTCTCTGTGGCGGTCCCAGAACCACCAATGGCGTCGGGATGATTGTCTCTGAACGCTTTCGTGATTCGATAGTAAGCGTGGAGCGCTTCGACGACCGTTAATGAAGATCGTTGTCGTCATGGAACATCAAAAATACCATTTCTTCTCTGCGTACGCTCCGCAGACTGGATGCTCCGAGCAAAACAAGGACAAGTTCTGGAACCTGCTTGATGAGAAGACAGCTGAGGTACCGTCACAAGAAGCCATAATTGTTGCCGGTGACCTCAATGGCCACGTGGGCGCTACGAAAGACGGTTATAGCTGTCATGGTGGTTTTGGTTATGGGTCACGTAATACTGATGGCGAACGAATTCTTGAATATGCAGACTCGCATAATCTCGCCATAGTAAACACGAAATTTCGAAAACGTGACTCACATCTTATCACATTCTATAGCGGTAAAACCAGAACACAAATCGATTTCGTCCTTGTTAGGCACCGTGATCAAGGGCTCGTAACGGACGCAAAAGTAGTACCTTATGAAACGGTCGTCACACAACACCGACCATTGATTTGTACGCTAAAAATCGCCCCACCGAGACCGAAACTAGCCGAAAGATGTGGGCCAGCGAGAATCAAGTGGTGGCGACTGAAGGAGAAAGAAGCGGCCGTCGTTTCCCGCATTCGATTGCCAGCGGTAACGACTGTCGACGAAACTTGGAAAGGTGCTGCCGAAGCGATCACCCAGGTTGCGCGATCCGAGCTCGGCATGACGAAGCCTGGACGGAGAAAGGTTGATAAGCAAACATGGCTGTGGACGGATCAAGTTAGAGAGAAAGTAAGAGAGAAGAAAAAGCGCTACCACGCTTTTCTTTCGGAGAAGACAGCCGGTTGCTGGCAGCGCTATCAGATAGCGAAGAAAGAGGCAAAGAAGGCCGTTGCTTCTGCGAAAGCAGCTCATTTTGCCGATCTCAATGAGAAACTCGAGTCGCGCGATGGTGAACGGTACATTTACCGACTCGCAAAGACCCGCTATCGCCAGACCGAGGATATAGAAAAGTTCTTCGGCATAAATGATGCGAATGGTCACCTTCTGACGGACCGCGAGAAAGCATTGAAGCGATGGTGTGAATACTTCGAGAACATCTCAACAGTCGAATTTGCTCATCCCGCCATCCCTTGCGCTCCGCCAGTACACGGCCCCGTTCAGAAGATAACCATGGAGGAGACCGGCTATGAAGAAGATGAAAACAGGCAAAGCGACTGGTCGTGACGACCTAGCGGCGGACTTGTGGA